CCAATATAGATAAAACTCTCCCATAAGAAAATAAACCCTAAGCTAGATATACCCGGAACGGTCACGGAGTCGGAACGGTCTCGGTCCTAGCTACCTGTGACACCTTGATGTGTCACAGCACGGGCTTACGGGTCAGTCACAGTCCCGTGTTGGCTACCTAGGAATCTGTCATAGGGGCCTGCACCGGGACTCCCGGTCAGGGCTGCCTATACAGATTTCAGCACATGGTGCAATTATGAAATATATCTGCCCACAACTCGCTTCCTGTATCGCAACGGTCGAGCCTGCGTGTCGGTTGGGATGCATCCAACGGGATATCTGCCAAGACGCCATGCGAATGGAGACGATAAGCATTTAAATTCAGCCATTGGCACTACCATGCGAGTATAAAATGTCAATCATGATAATCAAGCAAATGTATTCAAGCAAATGCGCCGATGGCATCACGATATGCAAGTGTGGCATTTGCGATACAGGAAGCGAGTTGTGAGCGTGTGCTTGTGCGAATGGGGTATATGAATAGCAGTGATTACTTGTGCTTCGATACAATTTAATCAATAATTAGAAATCCCTCATATGGGATGCTTCGGTGACAAGTGGCATTACCAATTTATACACCTGTGTGGTAAGATCAGATTCTACGCTACGGGCACGTTCATGAATGTACATCGGAATATCCGATATAGATACACAGTTACATACACACACACTGAACGGCATGAGATCGGCCAACAAAAGCCAGCCCATCATCATCCCAGTGGATGTGAAAAGCAAATCAAGAGCAGGGCGGGGCCGTGACAAGATACCACAAACGCATACATATTCCCAACCCAAATGCAAAGCAGCATGGAAAGATGATACGATGTGACCGATCGTCGCCAAACAATTGTTGGTCTCTGGGTTACGGAGTAAGCGGACCCTGCTGGCATGCCCCCCAGTGGCTCCCGGTCGATGGATGGGACCTGTTGGTCCATGGTTATGTCATGAATGCAGTCACACCACACAGCATGGACACCCCATGTCAAAAAAGGAAACATGCGGGCACCTAAGTGCTCCCCACAAAATTCAAGGGAGAACACAGAAGTTGTACATCACCACCTTCTGCCTCTCCTCGCAGCACGACAGACGAATCTACCGAGCTCTCCAAGAGGCAGTGCCCGCCAGAATGGCACCACAGGGATAACCGCCTCCCAAAACCCACTTCCACCCGGCGGCCGTCCCCGTTCACAGCGATCCGCCAGTACTTCATATCAAGGTCAAAGAACACAAGTCCCCCGGCATGTGTAATAACCATGAGCACTGTACACGGAGAGGGAGCTAGCGTCAGACGAATCCAAGACACTCCCAAAAAGCGAGCCGTAGACGAATCCCCGACGCACTCAAAGAGGCAGTACCCATCAGAAGGGTACCACAGGGACAGCCACATCCCATCATCCAAATCATTCCAGTGGCCGTCCCCGTTCACAACGAGATGCCAGTACCCCATAAAGTGGGTATCGATCACCAGTCCCCCGGCAGGTGAAAAAGCCCCAAGGCACTGGACATAAATAGAGCCAGCCGCAGACGAATCCCCGACGCCCTCAAAGAGGCAGTACCCGCCAGAAGGGTACCACAGGGACAGCCACATCCCATCATCCAAATCATTCCAGTGGCCGTCCCCGTTCACAGCGATCCGCCAGTACCCCATAACGTGGCCGCCACAACCAGTCCCCCGGCAGGTGAAAAAGCCCCAAGGCACTGGACATAAATAGAGCCAGCCGCAGACGAATCCCCGACGCCCTCAAAGAGGCAGTACCCGCCAGAAGGGTACCACAGGGACAGCCACATCCCATCATCCAAATCATTCCAGTGGCCGTCCCCGTTCACAGCGATCCGCCAGTACCCCATAACGTGGCTGTCAACCACCAGTCCCCCGGCAGGTGAAAAAGCCCCAAGGCACTGGACATAAATAGAGCCAGCCGCAGACGAATCCCCGACGCCCTCAAAGAGGCAGTACCCGTCAGAAGGGTACCACAGGGACAGCCACATCCCCATCATCCAAATCATTCCAGTGGCCGTCCCCGTTCACAACGAGATGTCAGCACCCCATAACGTGGCTGTCAACCACCAGTCCCCCGGCAGGTGAAAAAGCCCCAAGGCACTGGACATAAAAAGAGCCAGCCGCAGACGAATCCCCGACGCCCTCAAAGAGGCAGTACCCGTCAGAAGGGTACCACAGGGACAGCCACATCCCATCATCCAAAGCACCCAAGTGGCCGTCCCCGTTAACAGCGAGATGCCACAACCCTATGGCGAGACGTATTCCCGGTCAGCTATGATGGCCCGAACTCCCACCCATTCGGACCTGGCACAATGACACCGTCACGTAAGTCCCCCAGCTTACGCCTGACGCGCGAGATCCAGCAACCCGGACCTCGTCTATCATACAGACCGGGCCTCTCCACCATAAAGCGCCGCAAAAAGCCCCACAAACGCCTGCTGTGGTAACCCTTTTGTGTCATCCTGTGGAAAACAAGAGCTATGTTGTAAACAAAGTCTTGCCAAAGGACACATCTCTCAGCGAACCGATGCAGTTGGCTCGTGACAATCTCATACTTAGCTTTGTCGGCCAAGTACGAGTCATGTGCAGGGTACCTAATGACCTGGATGTCAGCATATTGTGCATCCAGTCGTTTGTCATATATGGCAGTCATAAGGCCTCTGCGCCTATTTTGCTTGATGAGTATGTCCATGTAAGGGACACGCACACCCGCATGTGCCAAAGATAGACTCAAAATGTGTTTGGGATAGATCCCTGCAGTGCCGGATTCGTTCAGATATAGATAGTCTTCCATATCTGGAATATTGAACGCCAGCAAGTCATCAATGTATCTACAAACGAAAAGAAACCTGTGCGCGTCATGAAAATACACACACACATGAAGCGTCGTAGAGCGTGTTTTGATACAGTCATCACTAGTAATTAAATTAGAAATTTGCGGAAAAGGTTTCACGGTCGTGACGCGAAAGATTTGATATGGTACCCGCATACACCGTAGATTCGATAAAATCGTTGCATACAGCCATAGACTTGAAAAATCGTCAAACTCTTGAATAGTCGTCATTCGGGAGGCATAGTTAGCCACGTCGGCTGATTATGAAAAACAACGCAACGCCCGATAATTATGTAGAATATAGTCACCTACATGCATGTACTTTTGTGCACCGTCGGTACGTATTTTTTTATTTTTTATTTTCGTATACCTGAAACCCAACGTATATGATGTAATGCTAATCAGTCATGCTAATGGCATCCTGCAGCCGAGCGTCATCGGGATCGCCAGCACTATCACCACTTGCACTCACTCGCTACTTGTAACCAGGGGTATAAATTAGTTTATACCCCTTTGTGAGATATATTATACCGTAATATATCGGGTGGTCACTGAATAATTCTCATACAAGTGTAAACTGATTATAAGATAAACGAATATAAGGCGGTCTATGACCTAGGTATCTGTCACCTAGTACTGTACGAGTACTGGTACAGCTAACGGGAGTCAGAGCAAGTTATGACCTACGGGTCACTGAATCCAGCACACCACCCTGTGATTGTACATAGTGTTGTTACAGGTGGCAGAGAGCGGAGCATAGACAAAGCAAATTGTTCCGAAACAACAAACAGTTGGGAGCTGGAAACTGCTAGAGGGAGGCCTGTGCTTTAGCCAGGGCGGTCCCTTTCTAAAACTGCTGCTATGATACTGCTCACAAGCTAAGTTCCTACAGCTCAATCTACAGCTACTCAGCCACTTTCAAAGTGGTCCACAAAGCTGCAGAGTTCACCAGAGTTGAAAAAGTTGTCAGTGTCAAAGATGTTCAACCAGAACTAGAGTCCAGAAGTCATAATCCAGAACCAGAGTCTAGAGACCAGAGTCCAGAATCAGAAACCAGAACCAGAATCCAGAAGCCAAGACCAGAAGCCAGAGCCAGAACAAGATTCGTAGAACAAATTTAGGAATCCTGAAAAGTGAAAATCCGAGTCCAAGCCTGCCGAAACTCCAAAAGGAAAAGAAATGCTGAAGGCAAAATTGCATGGCAAGGTAGACAGACTGTTGGCAGTCACCAATGCGGGATGTACTGCTGCGGTGAAGTCAGCGGCTCGATCGAGCACCACCGAACCCTGAGCCGCTGAGACACATGCTAGGCGCGTGAGGGCGGGCAAGGCAAGGGATGCAAAAGAGAAGACCCTCGGCAAAGTTGCCACACCGACAAGTGACCGTGTAGCCGGTGGGGCCGAGGGAATCTCGTCTCCGGAGGAAGAAAACCCGTCGGAGTCGTCGTCATCGTCGATCACGGAAAGCTCCCCCGGGTGAATCGAGCCGTGAAAGGGCTCAATCGAACACAAATTAAGGGAGGGGTCAGAGCATGCCGGCAATACCTGGTCCATAAAAGTGACACGGAGAGGCTCCTCGAAAGGAGACTCGACAGAAGCCGGGTCCGATGCCAAAACAGGGTAAAGCCCAGTGTCGATCTCGTGATTGGCAGCTGGTGGCGCATCGCACACCACCTGCGGCACAGACAAAGTGCCAAGATGTAGAGGTGGCTGCACACCGGACGCGGCAGCACCACCGACCTCTGCAGCCGCAGCCGCAGACCGCAGAGAGGCGAGCACGCCCCGTGCGTCGGCAAGTACCTCCCCCATGCCGGTGTCCGACGTAGCACGTCCCAACAAACCCGCATAGTGGGCACGTAATCCCACGTCGTGCCCCGCCGGGTAAGTGAAGGGCTCAGGGTCGTCACGCACCAGTGGTCGGTCGTGCTGGTGGCACAACTCGGCAAACTCTCCGTCGTTCTCGTTGTCGAAGGCGGTTTGGAAGGCCGAAACGACGAGGTCCATGTCCATGGCGGCATCACGTAAGTCCACATCACACGAACCACACACTGTTAGGGTTTGAAATCGGTGCGGGGATTTTCACTGTACGAGCCGGGTCAAATCATATATATCGTCATGGGGCGAAAGTGCTCCACGACGTGATTTGAACCCGTGACGTTCGCTTTTCTAGTGCGACGCTCTAACCAACTGAGCTACGCGGAGGATGATGATCCTCTCGCGCATTTCAGTGGTACTCGTACAGATCGGACTGTTACAGGTCGATGATCGACTATGCGTGTGACATCGACGACGACGTACCAACATCGCGACTGCGGGCGTCTGTCATCTTTCGATCCGTGACATATCTCCCCTCTTTAAAGTGTCGTGACCTCACGACACTCGTGTCGAGTTACTTTTCAGAGGTCCGACCTCAGATGTGATGACGTGGCAGCCTGCGATGAAGCTGGGTAGCAGTTCTTGGGATGCAGCCCATCGCACCGAAGGTGCATCGCAGTTCTTGGGATGCAGCCCGAATCCACGTCATCAGCGCGGGTCACATCGTGCCCATGCATACGCGATCGTAGCGCAGGTCACATCACCGTGCCCGAGCATACGCGATCTTAGCGTAGGTCACATCGTGTGCCTTATGCCGTTACATCTGAGGCGGTTTCCGAACCGTCGCTTCGATACCAATGTTAGGGTTTGAAATCGGTGCGGGGATTTTCACTGTACGAGCCGGGTCAAATCATATCGTCGTGTGGCGCAAAGGCTCCACGACGGGATTTGAACCCGTGACGTTTGCTTCTCTAGTGCGACGCTCTAACCAACTGAGCTACGCGGAGGATGATGATCCTTTCGCGCATTTCAGTGGTACACATAAAAAATGCAGTGCAACAGAGATCATCAGCTCTTCATCAAACCTTTTAAGGTTAAGTTGTTGTCAGATGTATTGATTTATCAGACACCATAATCTCAGAGGTCTATTCATCATGGAAGACAGAATCTGTGCAATCATGGCTATTCAGCCTCCAACATAGCTATCCAGCTTATGGCCCAACCGTTGGTAAGCAGCCTCTACGCCATATGGCTAAAGATGGCAGGTAATCTCTTCGGTCATTCTTGGGCATAGTCGGCCAATTCAGGATATTCATCCCGATATTCTCCAAGATTGTCGAGCCACTCATGTTTTCCATGTCTCATATGAAAACAGCCAACATATCGCCCTATGAAAGGAGTCATCTCCTTCAGCAAGGGGAAGTGGGTTATGTTGTAAAATTGACCAGTCTGATCATCACAAAAGTGACAGATTTGAGAAAAGCGATAAATGCCTATTACCCGCAGCTTAAGGTGGCTTAAGCCACCTTAACTTAAAGGGCTCATGGGCGCTTTTTTGGCGGTGCTTTCAAAATTTGGAGACCTGTGTCGTCAACATCTTGAGCTGCTCTTTCTGCAGTGTCTTATCAAAAGTTTGATCTGAGTTCATCTTGACCCTCGAAATCTGGGTTGAAGTAGGGTGGGTATTTCCCAATTTTCCTTAAGATGGCTTAAGCCACCTTAAGCTAATTAGCTCACCGGGGGCTTCCTCGAAAACGCTTTCAAAATTTGGAGACCCATGTTGTCAAGATCTCGAGCTGCTCTTTCTGCAGTGTCTTGCCAAAAGTTTGATCCGAGGTCATCTTGACCCTCAAAATCTCGGTTGAAGTAGCATGGGTATGCAAAAACAAGGGAAAATTGCTCAAATTTTACTAAATGTTGCGCCCTCTTAGATACTTCCCAAAATTGCTCACCGGGAACTTGGGCTCGCCTAAGAGTGCACATAGTGTCTAAAAGAAGACAATGTCGCCGTTATTTTGAGCTAAAAAAATCTAGCTTCCGGTACCGATAGCTCCCGTAATAATTGAAAACGTTAAGGTGGCTTAAGCCACCCTAAATCGCTGTTAGGGTGGCTTAAGCCACCCGAAGGGTAATAGCCATAAAAGCACGGGCTTTTTCTTCGTCATCGGAGCTCTTCTGCGTTTCTACCCAGGTCATACCATGTCATGTCATGTCGTGTCATGCCATATATTATAATGACAGACAATCGTCAGTACGGTCGACTATGACACGTACAGTCATCATTTGTCATTCACTCACTTTGAGTGACACCTGTCATCGAGAGGCCAGGTTGTGGCATCGAGATGACAAAGCAAGATGAAGTCTTGAAGAACCGAAAGTGTTCGTAGAAAACTCATCTTCGCTTCAAGCATGTTCTGAACAAGCATGCGAGTATCATATGGCTTATTCGTTCAGCCGATACTGATTGTTCAACCAATGCCTTGGGTTCACAACCCAATTGTGGTGGCATCTATGAGATGCGGGGCATTGCGTAAATGAGGTAGCATTGAGCTACAGCAGTCACTTCTGGAGAAGCGCTGCACTCATATCCACACATACGCTGCGTGAGCTATTAACGTTCAATAATAGCCTCGCCTTATATCATATATCTATTCGCTTACTAGCGAAGCCCTAACACACACCGCCGGGCAACGTGCCGTGTCGTGAAAGTGTCCAGGGCAGAGTGGGCACTCTTGTACGAAGGCCGAAGACGCAGAATGGAAAGAGATGCACCTAGCACCCTGCGTCGGACGCGATTATTGAGACCAATTCCCGCCTTTCGGGAGTGGGGAGGCCGCGAAGCGATGCTTCCACCCCACCCGACGGTTACGGTCATGAAACTTACCGTCGGTCCGACGGTTCCGCTCGTCGCGCCATTTCGATAGTGGAAATTTTACACCACCGCCCCCATGCCGACGGGGAAAATCGTCCCGTGGCGGCGGTGTGTCTCGCGCATGCTCGTGCTCGAACACACTATTCGATGAAAATGATATTCTCATGTGAAAATGATATTGCCTTATTTACCTCATGATAGGATTAAAAAGCCGCATTTTAACAGTCAAGAACATGCAAGTGCAGGTTGTGCATTAGATTTACTGGTTTTTATGGTACAAAATTGATGCCCCGCCACCATGAAGTAGTAATCATGATCGCTTGACCATTCGTCGTTGGTGAGGGCATGCACTGATCGGCCAATTGAGCCGGATAGGACACCGCCCGCGTGCTCCATTTCGAACATTGCTCCGTACACGTTGTCCGCCCACGCGATCCCTTTACACTTCCCGTCCAAGGACTTCTTCATCTCCTTGGTCCACTTCGTTATATCAGCATCTTTGGGGAGGTCCTTAACACGGTTCTTCTTAGCGCGTTCGAGGGCCTTCAGCCGTATGTTCTCAATCAGCTCGGGCATGCCTTGCCCGGACACCTGCACCTGGCGACTGTCGGCTGGAGGGGCGCTGGCTGTGCGTGTGGCCCCCGCAGAAGACGCCGTCCGCGCCTTGCTCTGTCGCGGAGGGACTGTAGGGGGGCGTTGCGCTTGGTACTGATTGCCTGCTGAAGGAGGGACATGGCAGGGTTGTCCGCCACCCGTTTCTTCAAGGCAGCCGTGAGCGCTGAGTCCATCGGTTTCTCCAGCACCGGTGGCAAGTGCTTGTAAGCGCCGAATGTGTAAGGCTGCGGCAATGTTTCCAGCACGTTCTTGTAAGTAATTGCTTGGAGCTTGCCACAGCATACAAGACGGACGTAGCCACGCCATGCTATGAAGGCGGAGTACACAGTATTCACGTCGTCCACACGTTCCCCAAGCTGGGTGGGTGTCAATACCCTCGAGACAGCCCCAACCGCAGGGGGGCTGGCAACGGTGGGGGCATCCGTGAGGTCACGGTGCAAACTGGTAACGAAAAACGACTGGAAGGCGTTAGTGTAGTGAAGGCATGGGTGTGCCCACGGACCACGGACGAGCACTACCTCGCCCCACCATCCATGGCAGTCACCGCCGTCCACGGGGGTGGTGTACACACGTATACGCAGCAAGCCTTCGCCAAACTCAGGGACCGCCCAACCCGGACGGGGCACCCCAGCAAACTCGAAGTAGCTTGCTCCCGGTGTCAAGGGGGGACTAGAGGGCCAAATTAAAGGTGGGCGAAGTCCCGAACCGACCCCGAATTCTAGCAAAAGCTACGCAAAATTCAAAAATGCGCAGCGCTTCCGCCGCAGAGGGTCGGAATTGCCGGAAAACTGGGACGATTCTGATTTCCCGCGACCTGCGAGTCCAAAATACGGCTATGCGTGATATGCGTGCTATGCGTGCTAGGACCAAGGCAACGCGCGCACCTCAAAAGATTGTCGTTGGGCTAGATTCCTCCACACCAACGCGGCTCCAAGCGACCTGGAACCCTCAAACCCACACACCGCCGCGCAACAAAAACGAAAGCACAGACATTCTCGATTTCGTAGTGCCGCACTACGCTAGCTAGTCGCGCAAGGCAAGGTGAATCCGATCAGAATTAGCGCAAGAAAAACAGGGAAGCAACGTGAAAACGCGAACTAATTACCATTTTGTAGGAGTCTCCACTCTTGCTTGTTTCTTCCTTACGGTTTCGGACTTATTATATCTATACTTATTAAACGACCGCACGAGGTATGATTACGGTTGGTCAACTACAAGACTTCGGTTTCGTAAATCTTTATAGTTATGCTTTTGCTTTCAAGTGTATGCTTTCTATACACAATATACAGCAGTTACGGCTCTTACTTTTTATGTTACAATTCGCAGTTCAGTTCTCATCTCCGAAACGGGTTACACTTGGAGTTCTTATACATTCAGGAACTCTTTCCATAACTCAACTGTACTGAGTACTCCGTACAACAAGCTAGGCACCTCACATCAACATCATTCTGATCGGTCCTACTGTACTCCGTACTGAGTACTCTTGCGTTTTATACTTAGCCGTTTTTCTTGCTCTTGTGCTTGCCTCCTAGCACATTTATGGTGATGTTATTAAGGGCACGATAATCACAGCACATCCTCCACTTACCCTCTGGCTTAGGAGCAAAAATGATTGGGCACCCATATGGTGATGATGATGGACGAAGGGTACCCAACTCGACATATTTGATGATTTGCCGTTTGAGCTCCTCCATCATAGGCACTGGAATAGTTCGTACTGGCTGTGATGGTGGCTTATGCCCGGGTTCAACAATGTTGATGCGATGATATCCACCTTCAAACCGTTCTGGCCTATGGCCAGCTGGAAGATCCTCCTGGAAAATATCTGAAAAGTCCTCTCTGGCGCGATCACGTTCTGCTGTGACCTCTGGGTCTTCCATGGTAGTGTCTGTGTCAGTTG